CATATATTTTGAAAATATTTACATGTATTTACGTGTATATATTTAAATTCATATAAATGATAAATGATAAATATATAAATATATTAAATATATATATATACGTAACATATTTTTCTTAAATGTATTCATGCATGTGTGTGTATTTATATATACATAATAAATATACACAGTACACACACGTATATTAAACAAAAACTTTTATTTTGGATGCGATTAATCACGATTATATATATACGTATATATGTACTGTGTATGTTTATTGTTATTCAATTTTTTCTGTAACTGACATTTCAAACATTGATTCATTTTAATATCTTTCAATGCTCCATATTTACAACAGTTATATGAATTTCATTCAATTTTAATTAATTAAATTTATGTCCAAATTGCAATTCTACATCCTGTTTGCTATCTTGATTCAAATTCAAATCAAATTCAGGAATTGCGGTGGATTGTTGGCAGCATTCTCAGTTCAATTCTGAATGGTGCACTACCCTGGTGGCAACCAGCACATCCTAAAAGCAGAGAAAAAAACAAGGAGAGAGATCAGGAGAGAGGTGAAAAATAATGACGCATAAATACGTCAAGGTGAGACCGAGCAAAACTGATTTAGCAGTGCTGAGGCTCTCCCCGGTGATCTCTGAGCTTACTGATCTCTACAAACTGTCTAGTCATAATCTACAATGGGTGAGCTTCTCAGAAACGTGTGCTGTGAGTCTCTGCTGCATGAGAAGCACACTTATCACAACAGATAGTGCTTAAACTATACATGCATGATGATAACATTTACAAAAACATTATATAATAATGAAGCTATCATTGGCATGTGAGTCACAAAACATTTTTCTAACTAGCTCTGCTGGTGGCGTTTCAATAAACACACGACATCAGTACAACAGGGAAAAGAAGCACTATCTGTCATTTACAATACCTCATCACAGCGCCCGCTGAGAGACCCAGATTCATGCAGTGTTCTTTAAAAGAAAGCTTAAAAGATTAGTTCACTCGAAAATAAAATCCTGTCATCATTTACTCACTCTCATGTCATTTCAAACCTGTTTGACTTTCTTCTGGAGAACAAAAAAGAAGCTATTTCTCCCTTTGTGTTGCACCACAGAAAGAAAGTCGTACAGGGTTTGAAAAAAATTTGTGATGATATCTGCAATGATAGTTATAACTTGTGAGCTCATGAATGTTTTTTCAAGCCTGTGTTAACCGGAAGTTGTTGCCGACTTCAGTATAGTGATGCATTTCCAGCTGAAACGGAATATTGATTAGAGGGTGGGGTTTTATTTTAGTGCTCCTCCTCTCTGTCTCTCACTCGCAGCAAACTAACGGTAGAGGGGAGTGGTTAAGGATATTCTACCCAACCCATCAAACTGACGTCATCAGAGAAGGAATGCCATTCTGGAGTGGAAACAAATGCTCAGAATTTGATTAAAGATTACCAAAACAAACATTTTTGTTTTCAGTGGATTAACTTGGATGGATTAATTGTTCACCTCGAGACTAGCAATGTA